GTGTGTGTGTGTGTGTGTGTGTGTGTGTGTGTGTGTGTGTGTGTGTGATTGTGTCCACAAAGGAGCTGTCAAGGTAAGTGCTTCGTGACAGAAAATGACACATTTAGTTGCACTCACAAAGTAATGCCTGATCAGATATTATGCAAATGATGTTAATTGTGGGAATAAATACTGTTGTGCTCCAATTGATACATTATTTAAATAAGAGCAGATTGCAAAAGTTGAAGGACACTATTTTAAGTGCCTAGTAGCTCTCCCTCTACACAGCCTCAAAGACTGAAGCATATATAAAGCCGAGACCTCTTCTAATGAAGCAGCCAGTTTCCGTCTCTCACCTTTAAGCCCACTGTCGGGCCAAACCAGCAGCAGCAGAAGCATCAACAGGATGAGCAATAAAAGGCAAAAGAGACAATCCAACAGAGAGAAAAGACAAAACTGCACTGTGTGTGTGTGTGTGTGTGTGTGTGTGTGTGTGTGTGTGTGTGTGTGTGTGTGACAGTGGTGACCTCTCTGACCACCTACTTTCTGTTTCCGCGCTCTAAGTCCACAGTGGCTCATTAACTGGCTAACTAACATTGCAGCGAAGGTTTTATAGGCAACCGAAAAAAGTAAAAAGAAAAAATGAAACTAAGGATAGTTTCAACTATCTGACTATACACTAGAAGATTGAGAGCATATACTGTATGTGCAGAGTAAAATATGGCCAAATCTATATGTGTGTTAATGGTGGTGGAGCAGCTTTAATTTATTGTTGTCTATACTGCAATGTGCATTATGTGATAGTTTCTAGGAATAATGAATCTGATGAGTGTGCATACATCTACAGTACATAAGCTCGTGTGATTGTGTGTGAGAGTGTGTGGTCACAGCGATGCTTGTTGACTAATTGGCAACTGAAGTGGCAGCTGCGTACTTCACCATCAGCAGAAGTAATGTTCGCTGCACTCACAGTTCACACACACACACACACACACACACACACACACACACACACACACACAAAGAAAGTCATTCAGCTGCACAAACACCATTTTTAATTGAGTATATTTGAATTATTTATTGACATACACGACAAGAAAATTATTAAGAATACAGATGGATTCAGATAATTTCCAAGAAATACACACACACTGCTGATGAGCAGTGGGATTTGGCAGAGGAGAGGTGGTCCCAGCATCACATTTGTCCTCAAAGGGCAGAAATCTGTTGCCACGGCACTAGTGTCCCTGAGGAGAGTGTTGACAACCAATCAAAAAGGCCAGGAGTTCACTCACAGGTTAGGAAGCAGTCTGCTGATAAAAGGATGAATTGTGATTTCTAATTAAAATGTTTGGGCTTTGTTAGCTCTTATTTAACAAGACAAGTTGAGATGCCATTCTTACTGACAACAGTAGCCGAGGGGAGTATTTCTGTCACATTAACACAGACAGAGTTCCTATATTACCATTTCATTAGGCAGTGAGCCTCAGTGGCCACTGCTGTGGCAGCCTGGGCCTCAGTCTTGTCTGAGATGTACCACAAATATCTCTGAAGACCTGGATTGCTCGTGTGATGGCAAATTTCCACTATTCATACTTTTTTTTTTGAAAAAACTCCCTTTAAAAACTCCCATATGCACCAAAAAAATAAACAAATTGTCTCCTCAGACTCACGAGACACGATTTAAAAATTACAGCATTTTGTAGTTTTACTTACCTGTCAGCAATACATTTAGCAAGATGCAATTTAGAACTTTGGTTTGATTATATGAAACCCTAAATTAACGGGGCACTACACAGATTTAGCTGTGCACTTCAATACAGTTGTTGAACTTGTGAGAGAAAAACTTTAAAAAAGCTAAAAATGAAAGCATCAGAGGCCAAGTTATTCAGACTTTTAGTATCTATATAAGTCTTAATCCTACATTTCCCATAATGCAACTTGACAGCATCTTTTGTTAGACTCCCCATGCACATTGTTTAAACTCCATACCTCAATTTTGTAACTCTCGCTCTGTATTAAAAATGTGGGTGCTGCAATCCTAAACTGGGATAACCCTGATGGTGTTACAAAATTATGTTATTGTATTTAATATTATATCGATTTATAGAATACCAACCAGCCCTTAAAGTGCATCCCTGTCACCATTGTGTATGTGCTTGTGTGGTTCTGCTTAAAAAATGCAAACATCTAGGACGGCGTGCACGTGAGTGTGTGTGCATATGTGGCCACTAGATGGAAGAACGCAGCTTTACTACATTAGAGAAGCATCAGTTGAGTAAGTGGTAGTTTGTGTCCTGCAGGACATCGCTGTCACTCCAACAAAGCTCCAACAAAGCTCCAACAAAGCTTGGCTTATGGTGTCTCAGAAAAACTGAAGAGTCACTGATAGAAACCGCACAACTCAAAACCAAAAGATACAGAGCTCCACATCCAGCTCTTATGTTCCTCCTTCTCACACTATCTTTCTCTTTTTATGTCACTCTCCCTTCACCCTTTTTTCTGTTCCTCGCTTTTTGCTCTCTCTGATATACACACACATGCAAGACTGAGAGAGAGGGAGAGCATTCATTACTCAGAGTGAAAATACATGGCACACATTCAAACTGCCATAGGTGAAATCCTCTTCAGAAGTCAGTGATCTCAACACCTGCCCATGGCTGATATGAATGTGCATGTGTGTGTGTGTGTGTGTGTGTGTGTGTGTGTGTGTGTGTGTGTGTGTTGCCTGGGCCTTTGAGAGGAGCACTCTCAATGACGGCTTACAGGGAGACAGAATGAGGATGTCACAGGTGAGTGAATTTGCTCAAACTGACAGGTGTGTACACACATACACACGCATTTGTTCTCACACACACTTGCGATCATGCCTCTGGCATATACATACTATTTCTCTCTCTGTGTCTCTCACACACACACACACACACACACACACACACACACACACACAAACGTGCGCGCGGCTGAAGCTCTGTGGGAGCCAGCTGGGTCCTCTGCAGCAGCACTATCACACATGAATAACCAGGGCTTCTCTGCTCTGCAGCATTGGCTATTCAATACCTGAAAGGATGCCTTATGGTGTGTGTGTGTGTGTGCGTGTGTGTGCATGTGACAGAGAACCATCCATACAAGCGTACACTTACTTGCATGTGTCCATGTCAATCACTGTCAAACTGACACAGGGTGGAAAGTGAGGTAAGGAAAGAGAGAAGAAGCGGTGCAACAAGCAGATTGATTATCAATGATGCAGGGCTTTATTGATCAACATAGGTACTCCCTTTGCCTTTGCTCTAGTTCCACAAGGAGGCTGAGGTCAGGTTTAGTATGGAAACAGTAAATCTAGAGCCTATTTTGCTCACGAGCACTTAGAAAACTCAGATACTTACTACGAGGGCAGTCCTCCAGCTGCCTCAAGACAGTGTGCACCCGAGGTAGCCATCATTTTAATGGCAGCACAGAGACGCCTGAGTGCAAAATACTCACTCATCTCTGTATGGTTTTGGTGTTATCGATGGATTCTGCCGCGTGAAATAATTCTTGGTAAGGCTCAAATAGAAACATCCTACCATTTCCCGTAAGGTGTAAATGAACCATGATAACACCCATGTCAAACAGCAGTAAATGTCTTGCTGTGGAGAGGCTCCCCGACGTGTTTTTTTTCTTATTTTGTTGCTTAGCCGGTAAATGCAGCAGGATTTATGACAGCAGGGCAAATGAGAAATGAGAAGCACATGTTGGCTACTACTGCTCTGGAGTCCTGTTTGTCTGCAAAAGCCTACTTTTATGCCTTCTTGTACTCTCCAATCATCTCTCTCGACGTCTGTAATTTTGGGTGCATAATCACACCCCATCCTTCTCCTTACCTCCCGGTGCAGCTCCTCAGTGAATATCAGTCATCTCTAGAAAGAGGCAAAGCTCAGCACACCCTATAAGCCAGTAAAACACACGTGCTTTACTTATTTAAAAAAGAATGCAGTATAAAAAGAACATTTTTCAGACACAGCCAGTATTATTTGCTAAAAAATCCACTGTGTGCAACCTGTCAAGCACCGACAATGGCAGACAGAGACAGTTAGCAAATAGCTGGTGCATATATGGAGCATTTAGCAGCTACAGAACCTCTTCATTTGAACTGTAGATTGCCCCTGAACAGGGCCCTAATTTCAGCTGCCAGCTGTTGCAGGCCTATTTGACACACTCCTTTTATCATTATTATTTCTTATTGAATCATAACTCAATAAACTAATTCGAAGTTTTCTAAAGTCCTTGACTTCTTCTGCTGGTAATAGTCACATTGTTTACGATATGATACCTGAACGTTCTTGATCATATCAAAAGTGTCCACTTGCCACGTCATGTCTTCTCTACCCTTCTTTTCCTACCTTTCCCTCGTTCATCCTACTTTCCTTCCTTTCACCTTCGTTCTCCTTCAGACTCCGCCCCTCCCTTTCAGATGAGAGCAATAATTTCTCAAGGTCTATCTGTGGCACGCAGTGGCTCCATGGAGCCTCACTTCTTCTTAAACACAAATTGATTTCACGCTCAAATCCTCAAGAGTATAAATCACAGACCCCTCCACCTGCTCCCCACTACATCCCTGTCTCCCTTTTCGCCTACATCCCACTGTGTGTCCCCCCCCCCCCCCCCCCCCCCCGGGCCCCCCCCCCCCCCCCCCTTCACAGCCTCCCCGGCTTTCTGCTGACATGCACCTATACGCGCACATGCATACGTATGTACACACACATACACACGCTTTTGAGTCTCGCCTGAGGTGTGTGACGGCTGAATGGGCGGGGAGGCTATGAGAATTAGAGGGCGAGAAAGCTGGGAGTGAAACAGTGAAGGCCGGAGGCATCTGCAGGGTGGAAGCGGGCAGTTTCTAGAGAGGTTGTGCGTAGGAAAATTGAGGATTTATACTTTCATGCCACATTAAGTTACACCAGCATTCCACTGTGGGACTATGCTCAGACAGAGGAGGCATGCCTCTGTTGTGAAGGCTAATAATCAACGCAATGGCGTTATTACCGAACACTGCATTTCACAGACAGCATCAAAGAAGGAGAGGGGAGGGGGAGAGAAGGGGGAGACATGAATTCCAATGGATTGTAACAAATGCTCAGCCTCACTCATTTAACATGCCTCAAGTTTCGCTCAATCTCAGGATGAATATCTGGATGAGTGGGATGAAAGTCGGAGGGGGCGACATGAATAGGGAACAAGACGAAGGGAAAAATACAAAATGGGAAATTCCATTACTGCATCTTTGATGTCTGTCCACTGTCACTTACGTGAGAATAGAGCCTGGTGGATGTAGGAGCCCTTGAATTGGCTTTACATCTCTGAATTATACTATTAGCACCACTCTAACCACACCTCTCTGAGGCAACATCACAGCGCCCTGTCATGTTTGTGCATGCTTATCACTGCTGCACTGTGTAAGGTAAGTACATTAACTGTACGGCATCAGAAAGGGATCATTATGAGCGGAAGTGTGAATAGGAATGATATTCAAAGTATTATCTTACAATATGTTCCCGCACGCCTGTCAGTCAAATCCCCGGCAAGATGTTGACAGTGTTGCTTGTTAGCCAAGGGAGACAACGGTATTAAATTGTCTGCGTTAAAACAGAATTTTCTGACACTGTTTTGGCTTTGTTTTACATCTCGGATGTACAGTGCACAATACACAATACTACTGCATGTATACGTAGGCCTATGGCTTTAAAATATAAATGTGAAAGTATATTATATTATTATTGTTTGTGCTCCAGCTCATGCCTGGGCTGCATGAAATCAAATTGTGTCAAATCTGTGCCTCTTAAAATTGTGGTGGTGTTTTATTAGACTTGATCATATTTTAAGCCGTTTTTTAAAAGTCTGGCTGAGAAAGCTAAAGAGGGCTGTGGAAAGGGAAATGTTCTGGCATCATGCTATTAACGCTTCAAAGCCACCTCAAGCACTTTCGAAAAATAGACCGAAAGAGCGAGCACAAAGGTGAATTAATCGAACACACATCAAAGTGTGTCAGATTAACCCGCACCACATGATTCACTTTTCCTTGTGAGAAAAACACTCGATATACAATGTACATGTGAAGAAAACATCAGCTGCTAATTAAGGAAAGAACTGGACATCCCTGTCTAAAACAGCAGTGGAGACCATTGTGTTTGATTGCAAAGAGTCTCTTTTTATTTTTCCTCGTGTTCAAGTACGGTACGGTCCTCTCTCAGCAGGGTCATCTAAGAAGCATGGACACACAATAAACACACAACTCGCACCAGAGCCTGAGCATCTTCAGGTGGGATTTCTCTTTTGTCTCGATTGGAGGGGGGGGGGGGGAGAGTGGGGCCCGATCAGCAGCTTCCATCTTTAGGTCAAGTGAACAAGAGTCCTGTTGTACACCACATAATCATTTTTTATCTGCGAACATTTGTTGCATTTAGTGACACTGACATCTGCACATAAAAATTATATATATATATTTATATTTATATTCATATATTCATAGATTTGTCATTCTATATCAACAATTCATTCTAGTGATTTTTACCTTTTGATGTAAAACTGGACAAACTGTCGGTAGGAATGCCTTGTTTGGACATTGATTTACACAGGAACGCACACGCACATACACGCAACAGAGGCACACGCACACACTACTACACACATGCATGCATAGATACCGCTCGCTCAAGTTTTACGTGTACGCACACGGGCCACACATTCGGTCACATACATGCACACGTACACAAACGCACGCACACACGTGTCCCAACACACGCACACCCACACATGCTCAGCCAACACAGAGAGGCAGGTCTGTACATCTATGGGAGGAAGATGTTACCCACGATCCCCAGCAATAAGTACGGCTTTACCTGATCAAAACACAAGAAAATAAAAGTTACGAACAGCAGAGGGAGTCACCCATCCATCGTCTGTAAACCTCGACAGAATGTCCCTTTAAAGTCCTTTAGGACTGGTCCATGGGGTGTCAAAGTTTGGCACCATGTCATGTCTCTCTCTCCCTCTATCTCTACTGTACAATAGACACGGTGGCTCTTGTCAGACGGACCAGTTTTTATGCACAAGTGATTATGAGAAACCACGGAAAGTTGACACGGTCAAACATATGAGCTCCCTAAAAGGAAAAGACAACCCTTTCCCAGAGACAGAGAGTGTGCTTTAAACATACACATGTTTTCATTCGGCAGTGAAAAAGCACTTTTGTTGACAGGGACTCGGGAGCGATACTGCTCTGCCAATCTGATGCTCTGGCAGCCTTGAACTGCTGCTCCTGCCGTTTGAGCATGTCCACGATGAAATTTATTTAATGGAGGGAGAAAAAACACAAACACTGCAGGGTTTCCTCTCCGGCTTGGAAAAGGGCAAAAGAAAGGTGTCCACTGACATCCATCATGGCCATGTCTGTCTTTTCTGCTTCTTGTGTTTTTTTTCACGTATTTTTGTTGCTTTTGTTGTTTCAGTCAGTAGTCAGTCATGGAAAAAACAAATTGACATTTTCACAAGTGGCCCCATCAAAAACATGTGTAATATACACACTTTATCACTTTTGAACTGTACACAAAATAAAAATGCTTTTGTGAAAGTGAAAATTTAGAAAAGTACAAATAAAAAAAGCTGTGAAAGAATGATGACAAAAAAAGAAGTCTATTGAAGATGACATTCCTTGAAAACAAATTCAGAAGCCTACGTAGGTGGCAAGGCCATTGCAACAAAAAAACAGGAAGAGGGGGGGATAGGGATAAAGCAGTGCTACGTTTGTCACACATCCACTCCTTGTCTTGTGCCTGATGTGATATCATTTTTTTCTGTGCTTTTATTCCTCCTGACCTCCTCAAGAAAGCCTCATGCCATCTTTGTCTCTCCTCTCTGCCTTTAACAAAAGGTCAGGCCACTTCCTGCTCTTACAGAGTAAGAGCTCACCCTCATCCGCTCCCCATTATTTCGTGATCCCATCTCTCTCCTCTTCTCTAGGTCTCTGCATACTCTCTCCACTTGGTCATTTTCTATCTTCCTATATTCTCCTGCCCACTTCTCTCTCACCCTTTTAAACACACTTCTTCATATCTACTCCCCCCGTATCCACTCAAGGGTGCAATGGAGCTGGAGAAATAAAGCTGTCTGAAAAAAAAAAAAAAAAAAAAAGCCCAGAAAATGTCTGCATGCACATGCACAGTGTCTCTTTGTCACTCGACCTGACTTGATTTCTTAACCCAATCTAGCTCTGCCTTCCCCATTAATTTAGAGAACACACATTTCCTGCCACTGTCTATAAGATTTCAACATGACACTTATTGTCATCTTGTGTTAAATCTGCTGTTGATCGCTTGCAAAATGATCCCTTTCACACACGCACACACAGACTCTCTCTGCCCCCCCCCCCCATCATCATAGTCTAACTAAACCCAGGAGTCAGGCGAGGCCGGGTAGTGGCTGGTCTCATAGTTCAGTTCACTGTACGGCCGAGAGGCCGAGTAGAAGTCTACGTAGTTGCCGGTGGATTTGAGGCCCAGATGCATGCGCAGGTCCTCCCTCGGGTCTCGGGGCGGTCCGGTGGAGCTTGGAGGCTGCTGGGGTTGGGCCTGAGGCTGGGCCTGCGCCTGGACCTGAGGCTGTGGCTGGGATGGAGGTGGTGGAGGTCCCTGGTCCTCGAAGTAGACCTCACTGAAGCTCCGACTCTGGCTGTGAGGTGGAGGCTGCGGCGGCTGAGGCTGGGGGAAGGAAGGAGGGGGAGGGTAGGGGTCGTAGTCCTTTAACACGGCTGCTGACGGGCTGTCCTGCTGGGGCTGGGGGGGCATGACGCAGGGCTGGGCCGGAGCCTGGTGGGGGAGCAGTGGAAGTGGGGTAAAAGTGGTAGGTGCAGCAAGCAAGAATGAAGAGTCATCAGGAAGGGAGATAAAGGTGGAGAGATGGAGAGGAGAGTGGCAGGTAGAGAGCTCATGGGGGAGAAGTTTTGAAAAGGCGGGTAGTACAGTTAAAAAGGCTCGGATAGGAATCAGTTGGGAAGGGACTCATGCTGTGAATTCTCTATTACATGCAGGTACTGAAGGAGGCAATTCAGCTTGAACACTGTAACTCTCACAGGCTAGTTGAGACACCCATTTTGGTTATTTAGTATAGTTTAACTGCCAAGTGAATGTCTTTCCCGACAAGGGAATGATATTTAACTATTTAACTATGTACAAAATACATATATCAATACATCAAATGAAATTGTATCTTCCTAGTCAAAGTCTATGCTACTTTCTGTTACCCCTCCCTCTTCCCCAGCAGAGTCATTATCAGAGGCAAATAATTAGCGCAATCAACCGAGCTAATAATTTTAATTGGCAGTCGGGTGTTGTTTTAGGTTGCAGTGTTTTGGCGCCGACTGAGCTGAGGGCGTGTCTCCGTAGCACACTCTGCCAGTGCGTCTTTTATCACAGTCAGACACCTTCTGTGTGCATTTGTGTGTGTGCCTCTTCCATCCTGCTGCTATCTCTCCTAATAACCACCTTGTCGTGACAGCATATGTCAATTTATGAGACCCCTGACGACAGGCACGCACTGCTAAAACCTGCTGTGCTGGTGTGTACATATAAACGTGTAAGTGCGTAGTACATTTATAGACTCCTATTGCTCACCTGGTTTTGCTTGATGTCATCACTGGCGGTCAGGTAAGAGTTTCGGAACAATGTAGATGTTCCACAGGATACTTGAACTGGATAGAAAGGAAGATAGAAATAAAAAAGAAAGACAACACCTTTTGTGAAAGGTAACTAGCTCCACTACTACTGCTCATAATAATAATAATTCATAGACCAACAAAATAGTGGGAAACTGCACAATTAGGCTTAGTCAAAATCTGCTAATTAGAGCCCAAATCTTCCTACAGTTTGTCTAAAAGTTTGGCAATTAGTCTGTCCCTAGTGCCCTCAAGAGAACATTGTGAGAGAAAGACAAAAGAACAGAGCATGGAAGAATAGAAAAGAGACCAGTAGATAGAAGGAGAAGCAATGGAAGGAAGAGAGGAAGAAAAAGAATGAAAGAGTGAGTGGAGAGAGCAGTGCAGAAAGATACTGAAAAGAAGGACTGGCAAAGACAGAGAAAAATCTCATAAGTGTGCGAGTAAGACAAGAAAAAGTAGTGTGGGGTCAAAGAAAAGACAGATAAGGGGAGAAAGCAAGAGGTGAAATAGGGAATTAAAATGGACGAGAAAGAAAGATAAAGAGGGGGATGAAATAAAATAATTTAATTCTTCTGTGTCTCTCCATCACACACACGCACCTGCCATGCCGTCTTTCCGGGATGTGTGCTCTCCTTTGTTGCTATGGAAACCAGCGTTGGTTGCCGTGGAATCATAGTCCATCTTGCGTTCCTTCAGACTCATCATCTCTCTGGGGGAGGCTGGAGCGCTCGCTACACACACACACACACACACACACACACACACACACACACACAAAATAATGAGCAATAAACCCTGCATGCTTATGTGTGTTTGTGTGTCTCAGTCTTTCAAGGTGCACAGTCATTATTCATCATTTAGCTTGTCAGCATAAAGGGTCACCTCCAGCATGTTAAAGGACTCCTGGGAATTCACACACACATACACACACACACACACACACACACACACATACCAGTTTTTGGACACATTATTCGAATATCATTTTCTCAATTCTGACAATGTATTCCTTTTTTTTGGACGACATCATACAATCACACAAACAGGTTGACTTGAACAACGTAACCCCAACTCTTGCATGGAAGCAGGCCATTGTGATGCTGTAAATTCTATGCCAGGTTAAAAATAATCCTGATGGTGTTCAGATTCCAAAGTTCTTTAATTGACATCATTTTAAGTATGAAAGAAGAGTACACCAATCATTTTTTGTCAGACTCGTCAGACTCATCCCGATCAAACAAGTTCAACACGTCATCAACACCAACCATCATGTCCCCAATGAGCTCTTTTGAATAGAAACTAGTTGTTATTTAACTCGATTAACGATAAAAGCAATCTTTTTTTCACACAAAACATGGTGATTGTGGAATTTAGTCGTTTTTGATTCCTCCGCTTGTTTGCTGACTAGTTTTGATCCGATCTCAATCTTAGCAGGCAGAGTTATGACTGATGCCAGGTGTGTAGTTGGCCAATGCAATCATATTTGTGTGTGTGCTTTTACCAACTGTACTGTTACCTTTACAGCACAGCTGAGCTTGATGGCTGATTTCTCCTCAAAGGCCATCCTATTGGAGTTTCAAATCTATTTCCTTTAAACCTTGTACTTTTTCAATGTCTGTCACTTTCTCAAGACTTTAGCCCAGGTATATTTTACACACATGACTGCATCACCAGACGCATGCCTGTGTGCACCCATACATGCACAGACGAGGGCAGACCCAGCACACATACTGTAGATACAATGGTTTTTTCTCTTCTTTCACACCCCCACCCCCCCCCCACACACACACGCGCACACACACACACACACACACACGCACATGCACATACACACACACACACACACAGACACAGGCAGCACGTCACAATGTAATCCCCTTATAGCATACTTAAAGTGCTTACTTAGTCCTTGTTATCTTGACATATTGAATTGCCACAATCCTGCCTACGTGCATCAGCTCCTAAACTGCCTGTAAACCCACCATACTTACAGTATATATATATATATATATATATATATATACGTATATGCACAGTATACTGAGTATATATATATATATAAAGGCTTTTGTTGTGTTGGAATCTCACTTTATCTATTCAAATACTGAAGGACTTTTTTAATCCAACTCTTCAACTCTTGACATTGACAGCAAGGTTGCATTCCGACCTCTTATCGGTTCCCTGGCTTTTTTGCGTCTTACCAATATATTTTATCATGCACACACAGAAATGTCTACAAAGAAAGGTGCATATACGTGATTGTCGACTGGTTGTGGTGAATTAAATTACAAACATTTAGTAGAGCAAGATAAACAGAGGAAGACAGGAGCTACAGGCTACTATCATGTTTTGACACATTTGATGTTGAATATTTAGAATTTGTCACCACCGCAGCGAATTCCATTAAGGTGGACGCTCAAACCCGTCACAGGCACCCTCAGAGACACTGCCATCACTACTGGTTATGGTTACAGTGGGGACCTGGCTTGTAACTGCTGGATATAAGCAACTGAGAGCAACTCGTTCTATCAGCGCAAGACACAGCGGTACCCTGTGGGGGCCATGATGGATGCAAAGTTATGTCTCTCCCTTTGTCTCCCTCTGTCATCCTCGAAGCCTGCATCCTCCCCTATGTCTTTCACAGTTTTTTTTTTTTTACTCTCTCCTCACACTAACTCTTTCACTCCTCCTCTCCCAGTGTGCCTGCACGCCATCATTACTCCTTCTGCTTTGATCCATCTCTAAGGAGCCGGATTGCAGTCTGGAGCGTATGCAGAGAGGAGATACAGATGCATGTGGGTGTGTGTGTATGTGGGAGAGTGTGTGTGTGTGTGCATTGAGGCGGCCTGTAAAGAGTGAGAGATCAGAGGGAGAGGTGAGAAGAAAGTCGGATTACTGCAGAGGAGGAGAAGAATGAAGCGGGTGAGCGAGAAGGGGCGGAAGACTGGAGAGGCAAAGGGGGAGACGAGGAGTGCAGAGGGTAGGAGCGGGAGAGAAAATGGGAGTCATTTCCGTTTCCCATTCCCCCTCTCCTCCCCACTACAGACATCCACAAATTTCTCTACGCACTATGATCTCAAAACTGCTTATTTTCAATGTCGCTGGCGAAAGTCAAATCCTCATCCTTCACTTCCTCCTCACTGCATTAACCATCCCTCAATCCCTAATTCTTCTTGCCTCCTTGCCTTTTCTCTTTATCTCCCTCTCTGTTTATCTCACCCCTCCCTCTTTCTGTCTCGCTCACACACACACAAATACACAGTTTTTCTCACCCTCCCTCCCTCCGTGTGTCTCTCCCTCTTTTAGCTGGGTCCTTGAAGACCTCTCTAAGCCGAGAGGAAGGAAAAGTACTTTTCTGCCTCATCAGCTTGCTAAGCCCAGTGTGGAGAAAGCACAGCTAAAGGCTCTTCAACTACTGATGCTAACAGCTAATGCTAATGCACCCTTACCTAAGCATGAAGGCCAATGGGCTCAAGCTAAAGGCTAATGATAATCATAGTTTACAGCATGAAAGCCTGTGGTTGGTGAGCACTGACGCTAACAGCCACTTAGCCCTGATGTAAAGACTGATGGACTGGTAAATGTTGATGCTACTGGCTAATGTCTAAATTATAGCTCATTAGAATCCATGTGTGACCTGTACCTTCTGGTTGTACTCATGTCCCAAATACATGTGCACATATGTACGGTTAGTTGTATCATCGCACTTTTTGCTGGACTAAATGAATTCCCTAAGAAGGGGCTAAGATGAGAACAATAATCTATAAATGAACCAAATCTAGAACAAAATAAAACCTTAAACCTTAAATTGATTTTGAATACCGGGTGTGACAAATCAAATTCTGTCCTGCTTTGGCAATCATCCTACCACTTACAGGAACAGTTCGACATTTTGGGAAATACACTAATATGCGTTCTCACCGAGAGTTCGGCGAAAACGATCTCTCTTTTCATTTCAGTAAGTGAAATATGAATCTAGAATCAACGGGTGATTGGTTAAGTTTAGCATAAAGACTGGAATCAGGGAGAACAAGCAGCATCTCTGTCCAAAGTTGAAAAACATCTGCCTCCCGGACGAGGCTGCAGGAAGTCACGAGACAGTTCCACTTAACTGACTGTTAAACCCCAAGTTGTAGGTTTTACATTTCTATTTGTTCACAAATAATGCAAACTAAATTTAAAATATCAATTGATACATTTGAAATGAATTACTTCAGCTAATTGACTATTCTAGCTTATACACACAGAGTGGTATCAATAACTTGTATTGCTTTTATACCTTATACATCTATCAAATATGCTGACATTAAAATTGAAAAAAAAGAAACATTTAACAATAAAAAAATCACCAAATCTCTTGAATCTTATCAATAGCAATGACACGACCTTAAAAACCCTAAAGCAGGCAGCTGATTGGCTGTAGGCACATGCCATGGAAACTGCCTTTGACTACTTTTCTGTTTGAGTAGAAAGAGCTCTGGTCTCATTTCCTCCTGATGCTTGTGGTGATGCCAGTCCAATAGGTCTCTGCCCTTTTTAACCAACTTTTGCACCTGAACTTCTCAAGACATTAGCCTAAATTTAGACCGTTTTTAATCTTAACTCAAAATCTCAATTTGCAAAACCGTCCTTAGTTGGAAGTCATTAAACTGAAACTGGTTGTTAAAAGAGGCAAGGTACAAGAAGGAAATCAGACACGCACACTAACACATACATAATCTCTGTATTGTAAGTGTCATATGTTCCTCACCAGAGCGGTTATTTGGGGACGTCCGAACAGGGGAAACGGAGGGAGTTCGTGAGGAGGAGTAGGGCCTCTGTCGGTCTCTCTCTATCGTTGAGGCAGAGCCCACAAAGTGATACTGGGAGTAACCATCCTGCAAAGAGAACACACAAAAACAAAGTTTAACTAACTGCACAAACTCAAAATCCAATATTCAATACATTTTTGCTGTAACACATACCGACCATTATACAGAGATGTGTACAAAAGGGGTCCACACAAGCATATGCATTTTAAATATTTCAAACAAACACTTTTGCAACATCTGTATTTTTATGAGAGCGATGGCATGTTGTATATGGCAAGAACAAGTGTATTTTTTAAATTACTTTTACTGAATCAGTCATCCCAAACCCTATAGGTAAGATACAGATTCACTCCGGACACTTTAGGAATATAAATATTTCTTTAAACTATTCATGTAAAATCATTCTTTAATCTTCTACGTTGGAGCACTCTGTTTAACTGGTTTGTAACTTCCAATGGACACATAAGAAAGACAAACTTTTTAAAACAATCTCACGGATAAGTGTTCAGTAGAAAGTAGCAATACAACAACTGCTAATACACAGATTCAGCATTGATGAAGCATGAAAAATGTATTCTGGACATTAAAGGGCACTGGCAAACACCCACACATGCACATACAAACGTCCGCACAGCACAAATCAACACACTGAGCATAGTGAAGATCCCACTGTCCTTGTAGAAAAAATGAATATACAACTAAAAACTCCACAAGCGTAATTACTGCCAAACCAATCAGTATTAGTTTAGCATTGATTGGAGCAAAGCCCTTTTCATAAAAATGGATTATGAAAGTCAACAATCACAGAGCTGGAACCAAATTCAATTTAGCATTAAGATAATTGGGTACCTCGGAAAGCAAAGCAACAAGCGTGTGATAAAAGCTAACGCAGACATGTTCCATCATAGGTTTACTGCCTGCGGGCCTCGGCTCAGGAGTGGGAAAAACTGGTTGGAGCTGAAGCACTTCGGTACAGTTAGACTGGAGAGGAGGAGATGGAGGGGAGGAGAATGAGACGACTGAGAGATGGAGGAGATGAGGCAGAGAGAGGGGGAGGAGGGACAGACAGGGTAGAAGCTGAGGGAGACAAAAGATGACAGGAAGTAATGAGAGCAAGGAGGAGGAGGAGGGGGAGTAATGACGGGAGAGTAAAGATAGCAAGAGGAGGAGAGAGGTAACGAGAAGGAGAGCCACAGATGGAGAGAAAGTCAGCCAGGGACAGAGAGAGAGAGAGAGAAGTAGGCTGGACTGAGCACAGTCCCATTTCCTACCTTGACTCCTATTTCCTGGCACAGCACTGAGGACTAACAGAAAGCTGGATCCTCTGACACACAGTGGTTCAAAGGTAGCTCCCTCCCTCCTTTCCCCCTCATCTATTTATCCACCACTCCTTCCGTCTTCTCACTCACCTTGTCAAACTGTCATGCTTCTCAAATGAACACAGTTACTGAATATTGAATGATGAATGTATTTTGCAGAAATACATTCTGCAAAAGAAGAAAGAAGATATGACACATGTGGAGAGTGACAAGCTACAAACAAAACCCCTAAGACCGTGACAGCGACTAGTTTCTTTTGCATAATTTTACACCATATCCACGATGCAATGCTTGTTCAATGTAAGTGTACTGTGGAACCTAACATTGTCAGCTAACAATATGCCCCCACCTCCTATATCATGATCCCCATCAGCTCCATCACCTGCTCTCTCTGATTCTCACCTATTTGCCTTGTCTTAACGGCTTTTCCTTCTCTTTCCACCCACCTCCTCTTTCTCTCTCACACTCCTTTCAGCCCCTACTTTAAAAATGAGGGAGGAAAAAAAAAAAAAAGGTTGCTAGGCAACCATTTTGCCTGTTGCTCTCACCATCACTGGATGGTTAGTTGAAGGTCGCGGACTGCGAGGTAAAAAGCGATTACTGCCCCAACAAATGAGTGTGTGTGTGTGAGTGAGTCTGGCGGCGCTCATGCCAGACAGCAATTATGGCATACATTGTAAAAGGTTACCCCGTGATGAGTGGTGGCTCCCCTCTGGGCCTCGTCCACCACTGGACATTGTCATTTTTTACAGTCCTTCAAATCCATTTCTCTCTCTCACTCATTTCACACACATTTTCAGATTTACAGTAGCGAGCCATTCACTCACACAGGATCCATTTATCCTCACCGGAATAATGTGCCTCTAACCTTTGCATTCTATATTTTGGTTGCTTGTGGTTCTGCGGATTAAGGAATTGCCCTTTATTCCACCGTTGCATTTGTTGTAAATGGCCAAGGATACTGTGAGACAGGCTATCTCTACACACCCCATCTCCTCTCTCTCTCTCTCTCTCTCTCTCTCTCTCTCTCTTACTGTCTAATACAGGTGAACATCAGAGGGAAACCAGGCTGAACACAGAAGCAGCTTCAGAGGCCTGAGGTTGGTTTGATGTCTACTGAAGTTTTTCAAGCGCTCATCTTCTTGTCGCTGACTTTTCCTGTTTACGCCGTGTGGCAGCGGGAGGACGGATTCATTTTAGCTGCCTCATAGATGAAGAGCATCTCATCATTTCATTCTTGCAGCGCGTCTTTGAAAGCACCGCGTGTTTGAGCGATTGCCAGAAATGCTAAAATCTATGCGGATTAATAACAGGAGGCTGGGACTCAAATTGGAGAACCACATTTTAATGTAAAACTAAACCAAATATTGGAAAGAATATACATAAAACCAAGCATTTATAAATACTTAAAAGTATTTGTTATAATTTTGAGTAATGTTGGTTTCATTACAATCAGGTACAGTTTTACTGGCTTTATCAGTAGCAAATTAGGTCAGTCTTTATTTTTTACATCTTTACATCCTGAGCATCTTGTGTGCAAGGATCCGGCGAAGGACTAGGTTGTGCAATCAGCGACCTCACACACAAATGTCTCACTCACATCACATCACACATATGGAATTACACATCCCTGGAACATAGTGTAAATCTGTCACACACATGACAAACACAGCATCTCTCTGACCCTGAACCCCATCTGTCATACGTGTGTGTATCTGTTTTTGTGATTTGTGAGATGTAAGTGTGATGTATGTGTGTGATATGAGGATGATACGTGTGCCTGTGTGTGTGTGTGTGTGGGCGTGTGTGTGTGTGTGTGAGATAATTTATCAAGAAATTAGGCAAGGCAGCCTGAAAGAAATTACGCAGGTTTATGAACAGGTTTATGACAAAGTGTAAATGTGTGTATATACAGTATGCAATTCAGTGTTTAGCTAGTGTGCGAGAGAGAGAGAGAGAGAGAGAGAGAGAGAGAGAGAGAGAGAGAGAGAG